AATGTGGAGTAGAATGTAAAAGTTGGGAATGGCGAAGAAGAATTGGTAGTTGGAAAAGACAGGCTTGGTGACAGAAATGAGGCTGGAGATAAAATAACAGAATTTTGTATAGTCAATGACTTATTCATTACAAATGCTTTTTATAAGAAACACAGGGAATACTGCATAAAATCAAGAAAGGTGTGTGTCAGGGTTATATCCTTTCTCCATACCTATTCAATCTGTATGCTGAGCAAATCATTCAAAGTAGCAGCCTCTATGAAGAAAAATATGGCGTCAAAATAGGGGAAAGACTTAACAACAACCTGCATTATGCAGTTGATGCAGCTTTGCTTGGGGTAAGTGAGGAGGACTTGAAATGCTTGCTGAAGAAGATCAAAGATTATAGCCTCGAACATGGATTACATCTCAACATCAAGAAGACAAAAATTTCACCATTGGGCCAGTAGACAATATCATGATAGATGGGGAAAAGACTGGAATTGTTTAAGATTTCATCTTACTTGGACCCACAAATGGCACCAGCAGTCAAGAAATAAAATAATGCATTGTATTGGGAAAGTCTTACAGCAGTAAGGGACCTCTCCAAAATACTGAAAAGCAATGATGTTAGTTTAAAGACTAAAAAGTGCCTTGATTTAGGCCACAGTCTTTTCAGTCACTTGCTATGCATCTGAGATGTGGACATTGAATGAGGATTACAGAAGAAGAATCAATGCCTTTGAGTTGTGGTGTTGGAGTACTGTGTATTCCATGAACTGCCAAAAGAACAAACATGTATGTCTTGGAGAAGGTGCAGCCAGAGTGCTCCGTAGAGGCAAAGATGGTGAAGCTCCATCTCATATACTTTGGGCATGTTGCAGGAGGGTTATTCCTCAAAAAGGTGGAGGGTCATTAAAAGAGAGGACCCTATAAACAATGGATCTGAACCCTGTCCTATCTTGTGCCATCCTATCCACTGTGCCAATCCATGAGAATCCTCCTCTCCTTTGCTCACTCTCCACCTTTCCAAACACAATGTACTTCTCCAAGAACTGGCCCCTTCTAACAATATGTCCAAAGTATGTGAGACAAAGTTTCACTGTCTTTGCCCTCAAGTAGTATCCTGGCTGCACCTTTTCTACGACATACCTATTTTCCCTTTTGGCAGTCCATGGTATATTCAGCACTCTTCTCATGCACCACAACTCTAAGGCGTCAGTTCTTCTGTCTTCCTTATTCATTGTTCGACTTTCAGAAGCACAGCAGGTAATTGTAAATCCCATGGTTTGGATCAGGTCCACCTTAGTCTTCAAACTGATATTGTTGCTCTTCAGCACTTTTGAACAGGTTCCTTATAGCAGACAACAAGGGGACGCTTAAATACAAAATAACAATATCATGCAGATAATGATATAGAAGAGGAGAGAAGGAATCGAATCTTCAGGATTATAGAATACAGAGGAAGGAGCAAGGCACAGTAGCTAGATTATCAAACTTCAGAAAAACGGTCTAGATAAAGAGGTACCTAAACTGAGACAGACCATCAACAACCTGCGTTATGCAGATGACACAACCCTGCTTGTTGAAATTGAGGAGGACCTAAAGGGCTTGCTGAAGAAGGTTAAGGACTGCAGATTTAAATATAGATTGAAGCTCAACATCAAGAAAACAAAGATTCTCACTACTGGGTTGATTGGTAGCATCATGATAGATAATGAAAAGACTGAGATTGTTAACAGCTTCAGTTTGCTTGGCTCCACAATCAACACTCTTTGTGCCAGCTGCCAAGAAATCAAAAGACGAATTGTTCTGGGAAAGTCTGCTGTCAGGGACCTCTCCAGAGTACTGAAAAGCAACAATATCAGTCTAGAGACCAAGGTGCACCTGATCCAGGCCATATTCTTTGCTATGCATCAGAAAGCTAGACAATGACTAGGGATGATAGAGAATTTCTATCTTTGAGCTGTGGTGCTGGAGAAGAGTATTGACTATGCCATGGACTGCTAGGAGAACAAACAGGTTCATCCTAGAGAGGGTGAAACCAGGCTTCTCCTTGGAGGCAAAGATTCTGAAGCTTCGTCTGACATACTTTGGACATGTCACAAGAAGGGACCAGTGCTTAGAGAGAGACACCATGAATGGAGGGTAGGGGGAAAGTGCAAGAGAGGAAGACCCTGGATGAAATGGATTGTCTCAGTGACTGGGGGAATAGGGGTAGGTGTGTCAGAGACAATAAGGTTGGCACGGCATAGGGCAGAGTTCAGAGCTGTTCACATAGGGTTGCTGAGTCACAAGTGACTTAACAGCACATAACAACAACAACAACAACAACAAACTGAGACCTGTCAGTTGTCATACTATGGTGGCTTATGTGTTGCTGGAAGCCATGATACTATATTTTGAATACCAACAGCGTCACCCACAGTGGACACATTTCACAGAGTTTTCAGTCTAAGACACATGAGGAAGAAATGCCTGGCAATGTACTTCTGAAAAGGAGGCAATAAAAACTCTATCAATTACAACAGAAGATTGTCTAATACAGTGCTAGAAGATGAGTTTTCTCCTAGGTTGGAAAGCTCTCAAAATCCACCATGACTGTAACAATAGACTTGTACTATCAGCAACCCTAAAGACACCACAGGCTGTATGTGGGGTTGTCATGAGTTGAGGCAACTTGATCACAACTAAGAAAACAACCAACTTGGGACCTGAGTAATTGAAGAGAATAATTAACATACCATGGACTGCCAAGAAAACGAACAAGTCTGTCTTGGAGAGGGTGAAACCAAGTCTCTCCTTAAAGGCTAGGATTTTGGGGTTTTTTTCTTAATTTTTTTTTTTAAATTTTTGTGTGAGTGTACCGTCAAATCAGATCTGACTGGTACAGGAGATTGTTCCTCCTTTTCCCGGCAGAGCATCTGGTGGATTCGAACCATGTGCCTCTGGGATTGTAGTTGCAGCTCCTTGCCACTAGGCCACCAGAGCTCCCCGAAGGCTAGGATTTTGAAGCTCCGTCTCACTTACTTTGGGCACGTGACCAGGAGAGATCGGTCCTTGGAGAAGGACATCATACTCAGCAGGGTGGAGGAACAGTACAGGAGAGGAAGACCCCCGATGAGATGGATTGATACAGTGACTGGGGTAATGGAGTAGATGTATTGGAATCGGTGAGACTGGCTCAGGACAGAGCAGGGTTCAGAGATGCTGTACATAGCGTTGCTATAGTTTACAGGTGACTTGATGACATGTAACAACAACATATTATATTGGTTGTTTTTTTACTTAAGCCTCTTGTTTAGAGTCAACAAGACCTTGTGGAGGGTCTTTGTATTTCTAGGTTGGTTGTTATTATATTTTGGTTTTGGTGAGTTTTTGTTGTTTTTTTTTTGAGTGTGTGTACCATCAAATCAGATCTGACTGGTACAGGAGGAGATTGCCCCTCCTTCTCCAGCAGATCATCTGGTGGATTCGAACCACATACCTCTGGGATTGCAGTGCATATATTTTGGAGAAACATTCTTCTAAGTGGTACAGCACTCTTGTCAATTTGCTGTACTGAGGTAACCTGGGGTTACTGTGATGCTGAACCTGGTGCCATTGGGGTGTCAAATGCCATAACGGTTACGCATGGTGGACAGTGTTTGGTGGAGTTCCAAGGTGAAGACAGGTTTGGAAGCAGGAGTGGCATCTACTTCCTAAACAATGGCCTCTGGAAACTCTATATAAAGTTTGAGAAACAACAATAGCTATAGAAAGGCTTCAGGTCTTTTGTTCATAGGGACACTATGAGTTGTGCTCAACTTGATGGCAATCAACAACAATCAGCTAGAAGGAAGAGGGACACGTGGGGAGTAGTGGGTAGTAGAAAGAGGGGGAAAATGCTTTGAGGTGTTAAAGAACATAGTGGTGTCCTTGTGTATAATGTGTCACACAGGTAGTGAAAGGTTGGCAGTTTGAATCCATGAAGTGCTCTTTGAGCAGTGGGAATGGGGAAAATAGTCTCCTCCTATAAAAGATTTCAGTCTCAGAAACCTGATAGGGGGATTGGTTGCTATTAGTTGAAAGCTACTGTAAGCTGGTTGCTAGGAGGATGTCAATAGATTCAGAACACTCTGAAGTCCCAGGAGCAGAGTGCAGAGGAGTAGAGGCCAACTGAAGCAAGGTTCAGACTACCTCCTGAAATGGTCTAAAGGTCCTTAGCTTCCTTGTGTTAGGCACAGTAGTCGATGCTCGAATCCTGGCCCCATTCTGGGAGAACTCCTAGGGTTGAGGGGGCAGGCAGCCCTGGAAGAATAATTACGTGATAAAGAGAGAAATGTGCAATAGAGGGTGCTCTGGGCACGGAGGAGGTAGAGTCTGGTGCAAGTAAAGTGCCCGGAAGGTGTCTGAGTCTTGAAGGACAAGCAGGCATCATGCCCTGGACTAAGCGTAAGGAGAAGGGATTTGAGAAACGCTGAGGATGAAGATGAAGCTTGGCTTTGGCAGGGACATGGCATCTTGAGATCCTGAATCTCTTATTTAGGTAATACATACAGGGTTAGACACAATGGTGTAGCGTCCTAAGCACACACACCCCCCTCCGATCCCTAGTCCTGGTAGCTCAGTGGTTAACCAGCTCACCAGAAGATTAGTCCTTTGAACTCATTGGCTGTTCAGAAGATGCCACAATTTAATTTCATAAAGATCAGACATCCTAACGAGGCAGTTCTGTTCTGCGCTATAAGGCAATTAGCCTTGTCTGAGAGGAATGCCCCCCCTCCCCCTGCGGTTCTGGCCCACCGCATTCGCAGGTCTGCAAAACTCCCTCTTCTGCTCTGGACTTTGTACCTATCACCCCGGAAATGTATTTGCTTATCAAAGCCGCCAGCCAAAGCAGTTGCCCTTAGAGGTGTCTGCACCTTCTAGCGCCCAGATGGACCCCTCTGAGTCCCAGCTGCACCCACCCACCCACTAGCGCTGGGGAGGGGTGACGCCCGCTCGCATAAAGTTATCGGTGAAAGCAGGGTAGAAATAAAATGAGGTGCTTCCTGCTGGAGGCGCTGCCTACTGCTCAGCCCTTTGCCCTCACCTGCAGCCAGCCCCGCCTGCTGACTCCCAGGTGAGTAGAGCGGAGGCTCTGGCCCGCCTACCTGCCCAGGTTCTGCCCGCCCAAGCCGGAAGCTGCCTTCGCGGACGTGCACAGTCCCTGCAGGTGGGAAGCCAAGGGGGAGTTGATTGGGGCACTGGGGTGGGGACACTCAGACTCTACGCAGACCTTTAGGGGGGTCCTAGGAGCAGGACGGAAGCTACAATCAGGGTGGCGGTGCATGTGACTGAAAATGTGGGTGTGTATGTTTGCAGAGGAAAGTGTGACCAAAGGAGTGAGGTGACAGGGGCAGGGGGATGGGCAGGTCACTGAGGAGAGTGCGTTCAGGGCAATGTTTATGTGCCCTTTGAGGAGTGTGTGTCTCCTTGGGAGGGAAAAGAGCTCAGGCAGGAAAGGGGCGTAAATAAAATCGTAGATTTTAATTCAGTTTATTTCAGTTTAACAGATTCTTAATTTCTGAGGACCAGAATAAGGCCCAGTAGGGGTGGAATACGTATAGGGTGGAATGCTCGCTAGTGTATAAATGAAGTTCTATTTCTCCACCAATAAACCAACTCATGCTCTTTCATTCTCCTGTTCACCTTAAAAGCTTGCACTGAACGGCTGAGTGCCAAGCTTTGGTCAATAGACCATGCAGCCCAGCCCTTGCCCTCAGGATGCTGCCCATCTAATAAGTGATCAATTCTGGATGCTTTTTGGCTGGTCAGGGCAGAGAATTGCATTAGGAAAATCAGGTATCAGGGACCTCTCCAGAGTGCTGAAGAGCAAGGATGTCAGTCTGGAGACTAAGGTGTGCCTGATCCAGGCCATGATCTTCACAATTACTTGCTATACATCAGATAGCTGGACAATGACTAAATATGACAGAAGAAGAATTGATACTTTTGAGTTGAGGTGCTGGAGTACTGGACATACCATGGACTGCCAAGAGAACTATCAGGTCTGTCCCAGGCAGGGCGAAACAAAGCTGCTCCTTGGAGGCAAGGATTTTGAGACTCCAACTCACATACTTTGGGCAGGTAGCCAGAAGGAATTTGTCTTTGGAGAAGGATATCAAGCTTGAAAGGATTTAGGGACAGTGCTGCAGAGGAAGACCCCGGATGAGAAGGATTGATGCAATAACTGGGGTTATGAGGGTAGGTGTGTCAGAGAAAGTGAGTTTGGCTCAGGAGAGAGCAGGGTTCAGAGCTATTGTGCATAGAATCACTATGAGTTGTAGTCGACTTGACAGCACATAACAACAACAAGGCAGTGTAGGGCGAGAACTTCACAGGCCTCTAAGTGCCTGATTTGTCTTTGAAGAATCATTGTCTTTAGGTACCATCAAGTCAGAACGAACTCATAAACTAACCCTTCAGTGAGTTTTCAGAAGCAGTAAATTACACAGTGCCTGATCCAGGTCATGGTCTTGACAATTACTTGCTATGCGCCAGAGAGCTGGACAGTGACTATGGATGACAGAATAAGAATAGATACCTTCAAGTTGTGGTGCTGGAGAAGAGTCTTGAACATACCATGGGCTTCCAAGAAAATAAATAGATCATAGATCTGGCTTGGAGAGGGTGAAACCAAGTTTCTCCTTGGAGCTCTGTCTCACATACTTTGGGCACATGGCCAGGAAGGACCGGTCCTTGGAGAAGGACATCATGCTTGGAAGGGTGGAAGGACAGCGCCAGAGAGGAAGACCCCAGATAAGATGGATTGATACAGTAACTGGGGCAATGGGGATAGGTGTGTCAGAGTCAGTGAGACTGGCTCAGAACAGGGCAGGCTTCAGAGCCATTGTACATAGGATTGCTATGAATTTCAGGCGACTCAATAGCACATAACAACAACAATAACAACAAATTGCATAGGAGGAGATTGTCCATCTTTCTCCTGCAGAGCAGCTGGTGGATTCAAACCATGTGTTCTTGGGTGGGCAGTACATCTCCTTACCACTAGCGAACTGAGAAGAGAATAGTGGGAAAACAAGAAAGTGGGCATCTGAGAGAAGAATGTCTAGATCAGGTGCAAGGGAACTGTGGAGAAGAGAAAGATAAGTTTGACCTGAGAGCCCTTTGACCTAAGTCAGGACATTGAAGAGGAGTCAGAACTGACTCATAGCTGACCCTCCAGCAGGCCCTCAGAGGCTGTAAATCTCAAGGGAGGAGTTTGCCTATCTTTCTCCTTCAGACTAGCAGATTTGAACTCATAGAGAGAGTGCCAACTTTGGGTTAGCAATACAACTGTCTAAGGTCCCAAGTTATTTCCAAACCTAAATTGTGAGACCTTGAAGGATGTGCAGAGGAACCTGCACCGAGCCCTGGGGGAGTGGTAGAGTTTGAGGGAATTTATTTGAGAAGGGGAAGTGATAAATCCCAGATTTGATTCTGTCGTTCTGGGGAATGGTCTAGAGGTGGGGAGAGGCCCTCCTAAGAGATGAATTCAGATTTTGAGGTAAAAGTTCAGGGGTGGGTTACCCAATAAGTAATATATATATGGGTTTAATTGTGCTATGTACTAATCTACAGGAAAAAAATTTCACTATGTCTTTGACATGGTAAAACTCAAGTGAAATTAAAATGGAAAGGAGGGGGATATATATCCCCAAGGTGCCATGGTGGTGTAGTGTGTTGAGTGTTGGGCTGCTAACCCAGAAATTTGGCAGCTCAAAATCCTTTAGCAGTTCCGAAAGACAAAGATGGGCAGTCTCTCCCCATCAAGATGTGTAGCCTCAGAAACCCAGTGAAGGGACTCTGTGAGTTGAGCTTGACTCAGTGGTGGTGGGTATTTACAGTGAAGACTGATGGAGCTTAGTGGCAAGTTGGAGATAAGGAGTGAGAGAGGAATTGACGATGGGTATTAAGGAACAACGACAGAGGACCCTCAGTCTAGGGAGGTCTTGCCTGACTTGGATGCTCCTCCTCCAGGTGCTCCTCTGATTCAGGTGCCTGTCACGTAAGGAAAGTTTGGATTTGTGTTATTGATTTTTTTCCCTCCACAAGCAGGTATCAGCTGGCTGGACTTTTGCCCAAATTAGCCAACAATGACCCAAGGGCGAGGTCTACTTGATTTATCATAGTCAACAGCATTTGTTGGGTGCATCTTTAAAATTCTGTTTTTATTAAGATAATATTAATAAAATGTTAAGGAATCTATTAATGTTGGGATGAACATTCTTTAAGTGGTACAGCAGTCGTTTGTCTGTTTGCTGTACTGAAGTAACTTGGAGTTGCTGTGATGCTGAACACTCTGCCAGAGTTCTGTTAAATACCATAATGGTTACCCTGTCATGGTCAGTGTTTGGAGGAGCTTCCAGATTGATTCAGGTTTGGAAGCAGGAGTGGTATTCACTTCCTAAACCGAACGCTTCTGGAAACTCTATGAATATAGAGAAATGATGTTAATTATACAACAGAGTTCAGATCTTTTGTTCATAGGGTCACTATGAGTCATATTCAACTTGACGACATTTAACTACTACTGAGACTAGTGTTGTTATATTTTGGAGGAACATTCTTCTGCTTTGCACATCACTCTTTGTCAGTTTGTTGTACTGAGGTAATCTGGGTTTGCTGTGATGCTGAACCTTATGCCATTATTGGGTGTCAAATGCCATAATGGTTTCCCAGTGTGGACAGTGTTTGGTGGAGCTCCCAGTTGTAAAACAGGTTTAGAAGCAGGAGTGGCCTCCACTTCTTAAACAATGTGCAACAACATCTTCAGATACTCTGCAGCACTAGCTGCTCCTCCTTCACGTACCACCTTAATCTAGGTAGTCTTCCCTTAGGGACTCACCAATCTCAAGTGTTCCTGCCCAGATTTTCCTGGTTCAGATACTCTTCCAGGTACATCCAAGCCTAGATGAACCTCCTTTAGATAGTTCCTTGATTCAGGTATTCCTCTTGGCCCTATGTGATCCTCATCCAGGTACTCTCTGACCAGAGCCTCCTGCAGGGCTCAGAATGTAGCCCCCTATGGGTAGAGGTGAGTGGACAAAGGGTTTGATGAAGGCTAACTAAAGGTAGAGGTAGGGTGGTGATGGCTTCCCAGTCGTGTCTGCTTCTTCCTGCAAGCCACTGGAGTCCTCCCACCTTTGGCAGCCAGGACCTTCTCTGCCTTCTGCTCCCATCTTCAGCCTACCGAGTAGACTGGGTTCTGGCATAGGGAATTTGGTTCACATCCTGTGACCTGGGTTATATCCCTTCACTTCTCTGTTATTGTCAGACATCGTCTAGTTGACAATGACTCATAGCGACCCTATGAACAACAGGTTGGAAGATTGCCTTGTCCTGCACCATCACCATCATCTCTGCTTTAGAAGGAAACTGTGGGAGGTCCAGCTCATTAACATGCTTAAATAAAAAACAAAACACACTTCAAGCACAATGTTCACAAAGGCCTGCAAACAGGTATAAACATTACCTCCACTTTATAGACGAGGCTCAGAGAAGTGAAATGATGGTGGAGACCACTACTCTGAACCTCATGGAAAAAGGCGAGATAATGTTTATACCTGTATCACATAGTTTGGTGAGTGTTGCAGGGTTTTGTTTGTTTGTTTGTTTTAAACAGTTCCCGGAGCTGGACCCCACACAGTTCCCTTGTGAACACTTGATTTCCATGTGCTCAGTTTGTTTTTCTACTTCAGATGACTGGTCATGGCCAGGTTGTCCAGTGTTGCAAGTTTGTGTAATGCTGCTCAGGTGAGAGTGTAACCTGGGGTGCCTGAGACTCCCACATATCTGTGAATTTTTCTAGGACTCTCTGCCCTGGGACTGCTTGCCATCTGGAGATCTTCCTGGAGACACAACTGTTTCTAGCAAAGGCCAAGGCTCACCCCTCCATGAGTACGCCAAACCAAAGTAAGTGCTAGCGGGAGGGTGGGCAAGGAGGGCGTAGTGTCCCTTTAGATTCTGGGGTCAGAGGAGTGTCCTGTCCCTACATCTCTTGATTTCCCCAGGGAACACTATCTGGGACACCACCCACAATAAACTCTGTTTCTCTGCAGCTACTGAGGGGCCCTCGGAGTTCCCCACAGCAGCAGTCACGTCCCCTGGACTGGGCACTGGGACTCGGGCATGGCCGGTGCTGGTGGGAGTTGTGTTAGGGGCTGTGGTCCTCTCTCTCCTCATTGCACTTGCTGCCAAATGCCACCTCTGCCGCCAATACCATGCCAGCTACCAGCACCATCCACTGCCAGAGTCAAGGAAGAGGAACTGCCCAGAGATCGGTGAAGATGAGGATGACGATGGCTTCATTGAGGATAATTACATTCAGCCTGGGGTTGGTGGGCTGGGCCCAGAAGGTGGCAGGGATCACTTCTCCCTCTGAGCCCCCTTTTGACCCCTTCTCCCCACATCTGACAGTTTAAGGATAGCGGGTGCTCCATAGGCACTCTGTGCCTCAGGGACAGTAGTGGCTCAGGTTTAAGGGGAGAGCAAGGAAGGACACTGTCCCTCCTTACACCTGCCCAACCATGCAGGCCGCTGCAGTGATGTTGATCCTCTCCTGCTCAGTTACCCTCAATGACTCCCTGCTGTTCTCAGGATAAAGCCCGAAAAGGGCTTAAGTATAGAAATAGGCCCTTTGTGATGAGACCTCTGTCAGCCTCTAGGCTTTCTTTCTTGTATTCCTGGCTTAACCAAATGTTCCACTGCCCTCCCCAGGCTCATTTTCGTCATGACTTTGCTCATCCTGTTCCCTTCCTCAGACAGCTCTCATCTGCTGCTAAATCCTCTGACAGTGATGAAAAATCCTGGACCTCATGAAAGCCCATGGGACTGGCTTACCTGCTTGTATTTCAGATGTACCCAGCTGGTAGTATTTTAGCAGTTAAAAACCACTGCCAGGTTTCTTATTGAATGTTTTCCTATAAAATAAAGGTCACTAATTGCTGTTGAGTCAGAACTGACTCATAGCTGACTCTTCAGCAGGTTTTCAGAGGCAATAAATAGCATGGGAGGGAGCTTACTCATCTGTCTCCCTCGGAGCAGCTGGTGGATTTGGACCTCCTGCCTTTGGTTTGGCAGCATGACTCCTTACCACTAGGGTATCAGAACTCTCTGAGCCAATAAAGTAGGTGATTTAAATGGTTGTACTATATTATGTTTCTCAGAAGAATCAATAACCTCATTTTAATTTTTAATAAAAACAAAAAGTTGTTTATTTTCCTGAACTGAAACTTTGTGCAAACCTTGTGCAGTGCTTGTAGCTGGGAGACCTTCTGTACGCCGCTCTTTCCTACATTCTCAGTCCCTCTCCGTCCAGCTGCTCCAGCACCCCATCCATTTCTCAGCCACTGCCCCTGCTGTGTCCTGTATTAATCTTCATTATGATTTGCACTCACCACTTTCTTTGTCTAGCCTTATTGCTATACTGTGAGCTTTCTGAGGTCAGGAGCCAAGTCTTATTCTGTAGCCTCAGATTCTTGCACAAGGTGGATGCCAAATAAATATTTGTTGAATTACTGTGGTTGAAGAGTGAATTAATGAAACTTGAGTAAGAGAGTTTGAATGTGGAAGATTTTATCAAGAATCTATGACCAAGAGGAGGAGAAGGATGAGGTAATAGTTGCTGCTGGTGAGACAGGGTCAAGCCGTGTGGTTTGGAGATGGAAGAGATGAGTTAAAGTTTTCTTGATTTCCAGCAGAAAAACTTTAATTCCTGTCTCTTCCATCTAGGGAAGTAATTGTGGCTTCTGGGTGGAATCAATGGAAGAGCTGACTTGAGAGGGCAGACAGAAAGTGGTAACCAGAGCCCAAGGTCAGGCATTGCACCTCTAGAGCTCAGTGGTTTCTGGGCATTAATATGATTCCCAGTTCTAAGTACTCAGGACAGAGGACTTGATTGGCCTGATTTGGCTCCAGTATAATCAGTCAGTCATGATCGCAGGGTAGGCTCCTGGACCACACATGTGGCTTTTGGGAATCCACCTGCTTATTCCAACTTATTCCTAGAGAGGAGGAAGTCCATGTGAGGGAGATGGCTACTTTCAATGTGTCCACCTCAATGTTTGCCTTTGGGGAGAGAGTTAGCAGAGAAGGAAGGAACATGAGAAGATGATTGATGTGGGCCCCTGAGAAAAAGGTGGGAGGTTAGTTTGGACTGGAGTGCAGGGTCTGAGGGGTTCCCATGGGAACCCATGTGGCTGAAGAGAGGGCCAGGTCATTAGGACCTTGGCTGCCAACAGGTAGTGGATATACTTCATCCTGAGGGCAACTGAGCCTCATGTGTGAACATTTTTGGGCAATGGAGTGATGTGATCATTTTGGCTGATATGCAGATATGGGCTGGACTGGGAGAGACTGAAGTTGGAGTCTAGTTCCCAGAGACAGGAGGTAAGACTTGACTAAGGCATGGCAAAACGAACAGATAAAGTCCAATGATGTGTAGGGGGCAGGGTGGGCAGTGATGGTTCAGTGGTAGAATTCTTGCCTTCCAGGCTGGAGCCTGAGACCTGGAATAGATTTTCTGACTTATGTATGTCATGATACAGTTTTGTCCTGGAGAGGGTTAAACCGGGTGGCTCCTTGGAGGCAAGGATTCTGAGGCTCCGTCTAACTTACTTTGGACATGTTGTGAGGAGAGACCGGTCCTTAGAGAGGGACATCATGCTTGGGAGGGTGGAGGGACGGCGCAGGAGAGGAAGGCCCTCTATGAGGTGGATTGATTCAGTGACTGGGATAATTGGGATGGGAGTGTCAGAGACAGTGCGATTGGCACAGGACAGAGCGGAGTTTAGGGCTGTTGTACATAGGGTCGCTATGAGTCGCAGGCGACTCGATGGCACATAACAACAACAACAACATGTATGTCATCTGTCAGTAGACCTTTATATGCTGCAGTGATGCTTCTGGAGCAGGACCTTGAGTAACAGCTCTATGGTCCAGAGAGCTCATTCTGGCTTCCATGGGAATGGTTGTTTAAACTTACGTAGGCCTGTCTCTTGCCCTCATGTTCCCCTAATCCCCCATATGGAGGGGTCCACCCTGACCATCTGCCTGTGCAGGGAAGAAGCTCAGTTGTTCTTGGTTTTATATATTCACTGGGACTTGTGCCAGAGTCTCCAAGGGACTCAGGAAGAGAAGGGCCTGATACCAGATTAGCACCCACTTTTCCTAAACCCAGCATATGACAAGGGTCTGCAAGATGGGGCTGCATCTCAGATTTGGCTGTTAGGCAGCAAGCCTGGCTAAAGAGGACTCTGATGTCTTGAGAACCTTGGACCCTGTCCTGGGAGGTAGCCTGTTCCCATTCTGCCCAGTATGTCTGGCCACAGGCCCAAGGAGAGAGAATGACCTGAATTCACAGGCTCAAAGAATCATGGGTGTTTGTCTTAGCCATATCTTTTTCTGTTTTGCCTTCTACTGGCTTCAGGTCTTAGGCCTAGGCTTGTACATACCCCCAATTCTATACCCCTCCTTAATTCTTAGTCCTCCTCCAGTAGCAGCTGCCACCATCTACTCTGTCCTTGGAACTCCCCCCTCCTGACCTGACTGGAGGACAGCCCAGCTTCCCAGCTGACTCACACTGTTGCTTCCTTTGGCCTTGTATGGAGACCAAAGACGGGTTTATACAAATCATACAGCAGAGAAGCAGCATGACTTGAAAACACTGGCTGCCTGGATTCAAATTCCAGTTCTGCTACTTTTAAGCTTTATGATCTTGGGCAAGTTACTTAACCCTCTGGTGCTTGAGCTTCTTCTCAGTAAAATGTAGTAAAACTTGTATTTTCTTCATATGATTGCTGTTGTTGTTGTTGTATACCATCGAGTCTGAATCCATCGAGTCTTTGTTGTGTACTGTCAAGTTGGAACCGATCCATATGATTGTTTGAAGACTTAAATTATCTGTGTAAATTAGAACGCAGGAAGTGCTCTGCAAATACCAGCTATAGTCTCTGTAGACTACCCTTGGTAGCTCCCAGCTCCATTTCACCCTTAAAAAGGACTAATAATGCTCAAAAAAACTAAGAGAATGAACCTCTTGATCATTGGACTCATTCTCACTCTTTCTGGGAAATTACTTCCACTCTACTTCCAATTTGTAGAATTGGGGTCTATAAATTTCAGGGTGGAGGCTCCGAGCATGGAGGGTAGAGTTCACAGATCCTGGAATTCTAGAGCACAGTCAAGAAGTAGCTCCTGTTCTTGCACAGGTCGAGTATGAGTGCATATGCTGGTTCCATGGTGATCTAAAAGGCTTCTTGAGTGAGATCTGAGTGTCCCCAGGGCACTGATATCTCAAGTGAGATGGGACCATCATTGTTGATGGTGTTATTTGCTGTCTAGTTGACTGCGACTCATAATGAGGCTATGAACAATGAATCTGAACTCTGCCCTATCTCGAGCCATTCTCATCATTACTGATATGCTTGAGCCATTGTTACAGTTACTGCATCAATCCATCTTGTTGGAGGTTTTCCTCTCTTACCCAAACATGATGTCCTTTTCCAAGAAATGGCACCTCCTAACTTCATACTGAACATAGGAGAGATGAAGTTTTGTCATCCTTGCCTTTAAGGATCACTCTACTTGCACTTTCTCAAGATGTATTTGTTCTTTTGGCAGTCCAAGAGATATTTCAAGTACTCGTCTCCAGCACTACAGCTCAAAGGCATCGATCCTTCTTCTGCTGTCCCTAGTCATTGTCCAACTTTCGCATGCCTACTAAGTAATTAAAAAGACCGTGGCTTGCATCAGGTGCACTTCAGTCAATTCTGACTCATGGTGACCTTCCACTTGATTTGTAAGGCTGTAAATCTTTATGAGAGGAGACTGCTCATCTTTCTCTCACAGAGTGACTGGTAGATTTGAACCACCAACATTTTGGTTAGCAGTCTAACATGTCATGCTACCAGGACTTGTTGTTAGGTGTTGTCAAATCAAGTATGACCCATAGCAACCTTATGAACAACAGATCTGAACCCTGTCCTATCCTGTTCCAACCTCACACCTCTTGATACACTAGAGCCCAGCACTGACACTTGTTGTTGTTGTTAGGTTGCTGTCGAGTCAAGTATGAACCATAGTAACCCTACGAACAACAGATCTGAACTCTGTCCTATCCTGTACCATCCTCACACCTCTGGAAGCATCAGAACCCATTGCAACAGTCACCGAATTAATCCATCGGGTCATGGATCTTCCTCTATTTCACCAGCCCTCTACTTTTCCTAGAGTCATGTACCTCTCCAAGGAATAGCCTCTCCTAGCAAGATGCCCAAAGTGTGAGGAAAAGCCTTATCATCTTTGACTCTAAAGAGCATTCTGGCTGCACCATCTCCAAGACATATTTGTTTGTTCTTTTGGCAGTCCATGGGATGTTCAGTG